TCCTGATGTGTGCCACCCATCCTGCCAACGTGAGGCCCCTGCCCCCCACCCCCAGCTCTGTGCTGGGGTCAGGAGCTCCGGCCTTCCTCAGTCAGCGGACGTGGTCAGGAACCCTTCCTGCCAAAGCTTCCTCCCCAGGTCTGTTCTCAATTCTGGTGGGGAGGTGTCCGTAGTTCGGTGAACTTCGGTGACTTAACACCTGCTCAGAGCTCCACCATGGTTCCTGTCCCACTCCATGGAGAGGCTGGCCGTGGCCGGTGCCCCCCTCCACCTCTCCCCGAGCCTCGCTGTTCGCTGGGAGGTGCTTGCCCACACTGAGCCTGGGACCTGGGCACACCCACCCCAGTGAGTGTACCATCTGCTGGTGAGTCACCGGAGCCCAGCAGGCCAGAGGCAGGCAGCCCTGGGCGCTGCGCTGTGTGGTAGCTGGTGGTCAGATGTGGGGGTCTCCTTGTCTGCCCCGGATCCCTGCTGCTCTGGGCGCTCGGCACACGTACAGTCCAGCTGGGCAGATACACATCCTGGCAAAAATGCTGGACGCCGTGGCAAAGGGAAAACCTGAAAAGCAGCTCATGAGGGAGGGCCAGACTGAATGCTGACTTCTCAGCGGGGACCGTAGGGCCAGGGTGGGGGGAGTGGAAGATGGGCAGGTGTCCAGAGATGCCACCCAGCGCCACCCCCTCCCCCAAAAACAACCAGCCTTCTCTGCACCAGTGGCCAAACTGCCTGAGTGCCGGTTCCAGAACTGCCAGTTCCTATGCTTGTGGCACTAGCCTCTCTGGGCCTTGGTTTCCCTGTACAAGAAACGAGTTCCTTTCGTGTTTGATTGCCTGGGGCTCTGAGAAGCAGAGATCTTGGTTCTGTGTGCTGCGTCGTGTCCAGTGGTAATCTAGGCAATGTTTGCAGAGTTGAGTGTAGGGCACACCCTTGGCAGCTTCCCCGCACAGGGTCACTCAGCTGTGGAAACCTGCTCCTTGATTGAATTTCCATCTGCACGGTTACCTCAGGGCTCCACCATTTCTTGGCTGTGCGGCCTTGGGTTGGTTCCTTGACCTCTCTGCCTTTGACACGTGCACTTCAGTAGACCTTACTTTCTAGGGTTGTTGAGGTTAAATGTGCAAAGAGCTTGTAACATGGCTTGCTGGGACAAGTCCACAGATCTCCCTTGCATGTATGAATGGGTGTAATTTATCTTGAGCAGATGGACTCAGAACGGACACAAATGTCTTTCCATGTCTACAACTGTTTGCATACAATGCTCGGGTTTTTCAGAGCACTTTGAGGACAAATCCACGTGGTAATAATGCCTGCGGCTCCGTCTTCATAAGTTATGTGAATACCCTTGTGCCCTCTGCCGCGTTTCCTCCAGGCTGTCTCTGCCCTGCCTAGGAATTTTAAAAATTTACCTTTGTTAGTCTTGTAGTCATCTGCTGGAATAAAACCTATTCTGTGAAGTCTTCTGTTAAGGAAATAACATGTGCATGTGGTTTGGAGACTTGCGAGGAGCCCAGGATTCCAGTTGGGGATACAACCATGCCACATGGCGTGTGGGATCTTCGTTCCGACGTATATCAAACGTATGCCCCCTGTAGAAGCACGGGACCCTCACCGCTGGAGAGCCAGGGAGGTCCTCATGCCCCTTGGCCAGGCTCTCACAGCCAAACCAGCACATTGGTTTCAGCAACTTTGCATTTACGGAGGAGACACAGCCGGGAGGTACCCTGTACTGTGGTCACAATTTCTGTGTAAATCCAAAACTTGTTAAAAGAAGTCTATTAAAGATGACTAAGTGTTTGCCTCTCAGTTTGAGAAAAACCCAAGTTGGATAAAAATCGGAGTGCTGGTGAGCACATGGGCGGGGGTGGGGTGGGGGTGGACACAGGTTGCTGGCGGTGTCCAGCGGTACAAACCCACGGGGAACAACTTGGCAGTATGTGTACAGTTCCACACAGATGTACCCTATGGCACAGGAGTGTCACAGAGAAGGGTGACTCTGCAGACTCTTGTGTGCCCCGGGCTCCACGCACTGAGGCCATTCCTTCCAGTATTGCTGGTTTTTTTGCCATATGTTGGGGCGCAACTGAGGGCATGTAAAGGCTGGGTGCTACAGCACAGCCAGCCCGACATTCTTAGTCAAAAAGCCCAGGTGTGACATGCCGTGTGCAGGTGTCTGCCAGGCATACACTAATGAGACAGTGGATGTAAGAGCACAGGTGTTGGGGACTTCCCCTGCTGCTCCAGTGGTTAGGACTCTGTGCTTTCACTGCCAAGGGCACAGGTTCAATCTCTGACCGAGATCCATAACTAAGATCCATAAGCCGTGTGGTATGGCCAAAAAATATAAATAATAGAACATATGCTTAAATTTGGGGGACTTTCTTGGTGACTCAGTAGTAAAGAACCGACCTACCAATGCAGGAGATGTGGCTTTGATTCCTGGATCAAGAAGATCCCCTGGAGAAGGAAATGGCAACCCACTCTGGTATTCTTGCCTGGAGAATCCCATGGACGGAAGAGTCTGGTGGGCTACAGTCCATGGCATCACAGAGTCGGACATGAATTAGTGACTAAACAACATGCTTAAATGTGGTTGCGTTCCCATAGAATTTCCTCAGAAAAATACAAGAGAACCCACTGACACTGGTTGTCCCTCACTAGGGAGTTGGGAGTTGGGTGTTGGGGAGATGGGAGTTTGAGGGAGACGTTCTAGTGAAACTTCATTATCTTTAAATTTTTTTAAAAGTCAAGACGTTGCATTCTGAATGGGTGCCATGCACACGGTATTCCAGGCTCTTCTTTCTTGGGACAGCGTTTGCAGGTGCTAATGTCACCTTCTGGCCAAAGTTTAAAAAGAAATGGTAGCATATCTTATACAGTGTTGGCATGTTGCTCTTTCTTACATAATATGTTTTGGAGATTGGTCCATCTCTCATAATGTGCTTCTTCATGTTCTTTGTGTGTGTGGTTTGTCTTTTTTAAAAAATTATTTTAATTGCAGGCTAATTACTGTACAATATCATAGTGGTTTTTGCCATACGTTGATATGAATCAGCCATGGGTGCACATGTGTTCCCCATCCAGAAACCCCCTCCAACCTCCCTCCCTTCATGTTCTTAAAATTCTGAAATACGGCAGATGCACAGAAAAGCACACATTTACACATTTATATGTTTTGCTCCTGGGTTCCTTGCTGGTTAGGGGTAGCCAGTATCCTGAGCCTTAGGGAAGCAATCTTGCTCTCAAACAGCGTGACCACCAAAGTATGTGTGTTTAGCAGCAGAGCTTGGTTTTGATGGTTCTGGAACTGCATGCGATGGCGTTCAGACTGTGGGTCTCCTGAAACTTGCTTGTTTGGCTGATGGCAGGCTTTTCCACGCTGCTGGGAGTGATGGCCCACCACTCTTGTGTTGTGTTGTATCACTCCTCAACTGTATACAGGCATGTTTATACTGCTTGCAACTTAGGACAAATGTGGCTTTGCAGCTCGTGGTATGTGTGCAAGAATGCCGAGTAATGACATACTCTGCTTTCAGCCTTTCCATTGCGTCTCCACGTGACTTTCATTTCCCGCTCCTGCCAAGGGCGCACCATGGACTGGGAGACCATCCGTGGCTCTGCACTTGGCATTGCCAGGTCTAGCGGGGTCAGCTCGGGCTTCTGCTGTACCTTTCCCATCACTCGTGATGATGGGAATCTTCATGTTTGCCTGGTAGTCGCTGGGATTCCCCCTTTTGTGAAGTGTTTGTGCAAGAGCTTTTGCTTTCTCATTTTTACTGATCTGTACGAACTCTTCACACATTGAGATTTGTTCTTTCAGTTGTATGTCTTAACTATCACCTTTCCCACTGAACAGAATTCCTTGGCTTAAAAAATTACATCAAATTCTGAGATCTACTTTACAAAGTACAATACACTGATTTTAAATACACACGTGCACATAATTATGCAGCCACATGAGCCCCACTGTAACTGAGATCTGGAACGTGCTCATCACCAAGGCTCTGTGTACTTGATCCTCCCTGATCCCAGCGGGCCAGGGATCTGCTTTTGGCTGTCATCTAGAATTTCACAGAAGTGGAACTTTGCTATTTGTTCTCTTGTATGTGGCTTCACTCAGCATTTTGTGTACCTAAGTAGTCGTCTGCTCAGTGACTGCACAGCTCCTTCACTCATCTGTTGATGAACACGTCTATTTCCAGTCTGATTATGAAAGCAGCAACTGTGAGTTTGCATACCAGTCTCTGACAGGCCTTCGTTTCTCTTTGTACTATTTGATCACTTCTGATGCATCCTGAGGCCCCACAGAACCTTATGGCGTCCCCCTGTGGGCCTCCAGGGATTTCTGCCAAGCCAGTGGTTCCCTGCTGTCCCTCCACTTCTCCAGGCTTTGTGGCCTCACCCTGACCCTCCACAGCTGCCCACCAGGTGCAGTGACTGCTTCTGCCTCCCTGCAGATGAGGAAACTGGGCAGGGAGGAGGGCCACGCCCCAGACCCACCCCCTTCCCACTGGGAGAAGCTCCTGCAGTCAAATTCTCCCTCAGGGCTCATCAAACAGCTGCATCTAATCAACTAGGCCCTGCCAGAGGACCAGGTCAGCCACAAAAGCGGGGGCGTGGGGCGAGGACCCTAGCAGCTTCCAGCTGAGGATGGCCCCAGACCCTCCAACCCAGGAACTGAAGCCTGGAGAGGACCCGAGAAAGGAGCGGGCCCTGTCAGCTTCAACCTGAGACCTGAGCAGAGACCCACCCACCACGAGACTGGTGTCAGGAAGCCTGGGAGGAGTCAGAGGCCCCCAGGAGCACGCTCTGCGGCCAGAGTTGGACCAAGAACCCAGGGCAGGGCAGACACATCGGGCCCGCACCCGCCGCCTGGGCAGACCCTACCAGTCCACTGCCCATTTCAGGACAAGGGCAGGAGCGATCAGAACCAGGCCCCCACCAACCACTGCACCCCAGACAGGGTGGGGTGCCCGCTGCTCACAGCCCAGGTGGTGGAGGCACAGAGCTGCTTTTCCAACTTTATTTAGAAAAACAAATCCAGGTCCCAGTGCCCTCGTGCCCTCCCCCACCCCAGCCATAATTTAAATAACTTAGAGACAGAGTTGGGTCAGGTGGGAAGGGAGGGGAGAGCCCACTACAGGCGCCGCAGCGCCCGCTTCTTGTCCGTCTTTTTCTTGGCTGCCAGCTTCTTGTCGCGCTCGCCCGCGTGCTTCTTGGCCATGGGCCCCTCAGCCCCCGCTGGACCCCCCGGGGCTGTGGGGTCAGCACTGGAGGCCGCTGCCCCGCTGGCTGCGGCGCGGCCAGGCTCGGGCCTCCCGCCGCTGGGCCCTCCGGCGCCTCCGTGGATCTCAGTGAGCAGGCGCGCGCGGGCCGCATATTCCTCGTAGTTCTCCAGCAGCAGGCGGCCTGCCTCCTCGTTGAGGGCCGACTCGGGGTTGGGGTGGATCAGCAGGCACTTGATGGTCTGTGGGGAGAGAGCTGGGGTCAGGGTCCCGGCTCCAAGCCTCTCAGACCCCACACTGCCCTGCCATCGGTGCCCAGACCCGGACTGGGGAGCCCAGCCGCTGGCCCGGCAGACCACACTCACCACTCTGCGGGCACGCGGGTACTCAGTGAGCTCACCCGCAGTCTCCCTGGCGACTGCTACCAACACTCCAGGGAGAGGAGGGACAGGTCTGGGGTCTGTTTACCCCGGTGCGCAACCCTCCGCGTGCCCTGCAGGAAACCCCAACTCCCTGTCCTTCCAACCGTCTGTCCCAGGGACTTGTAAGAAATTAAGGTTTTTTTTAAAGTTTTACCTTGTGAGGCAGGTGGGGAAAGGCACCAGGTGACCTCCATGCTCTAAGGGGCACCCTGGGGCCCCACCTGGGGCGGGCAGGCATGGCTCTCCAAGGTGCAGCAGCTCCCCAGCGTCAACCCACTAGGGGTGGAGCACCCCAGCTGGGACAATTAAAGACGGCCCGGGGGCACGGAGCCACTCCTGGGCGAGAAGCAGCGAAATTACAGCGCTGATGGTTGCACTAGCTGTTCGGTGTAGGAAAGGCTCTCCAACCAGACACTGGGCCCTCGCCTGCCAGAAAACTGTCCCCACACAAACCCCTCACCCGCCCCGTGGCAGAGCTCCCTGGGCGCTGCCTACCCTTCTAGAAAAGCTGGAAACTTGGACTCTCACGTGGAGGCCCCCACCACTTCAGCACTGATTATTTTAAAGGTGAACAAGGCTCTGTGGCTTGGACATGACTGGGCCGGCCAGGAGCAGAACCCACCAGAAGCACGTGCCGGATGCCCAGCTCAGCGGTCCAGTCCCTCTTGAGCACGTTGACACAGATCTCGCCGTTGGCGCCCACATTCGGGTGGAAGATCTTGGTCAGGAAGTAGCCCTTGGGTGGGGAGGCCGGAAAGTCCTTCCCCAGAAGGAGTTTCATGCGGAAGAGGCCTCCAGCGTACGGGGTCCCCTCTGGAATGCAGGGAAGGGACATATCAGGAGGCTCATGCAGGGAAGGGACATATCAGGAGGCTCAGGTCTTCCGGGCACCCCCCAAAACCCCAAAGCCCAGCCTCCCCGGTCTGACAGTGAGGCAAGCACCCTTGCTTCTTTCCCCAGACTGGGAGTTCTTGAGAGGATAGGGCTAGGTTCCCAGGGGGCTGCAGGCACCACCCCTCCCCCCAGCTCAGAGCTAACCCGACTGGTGGTCCCCACACACGGACACCTCCTCACTCCCCACTGAAGCCACCGCACACTATTCCCAAGTGGCACAGACATATATGCCACTCAGCCCTCCGGAAAAACATCTGTTTGGAAGTCTCTCAGGCAAGAGTCAGGACAGCTCTGTCCACTCCATGGTCTCCCCGCTGCAGCAAACAGCCCTCTCATTCACTCTCCTGATCAGGTCAAAAACCTGTGGGAGCCATTCCAGACCCAAGGCTGTTCCTGGTGCTTCAGCCTCCATGTCCAACCCATCCATTTTCCCCCATAAATCTGAGCCCCTCTCCAAGTCCAGCAGAACCACTTCTCTCACCTGATGGATGCCAGCCTCCAGCTTGCAACCCCACCCAAACCCCCACCAAAGTCACAGTGAAGTCCTGCTTTAAACACACCAAGGGCTTCCTTTCTAAAATCCTGGAAGAGATCTACAGACCCTAAAAGATCTGTTTCCTGTAAGTTTTGCCAGTCCTTTTTCTTCTGTTCTTACAATAAAGTATCTAATACACCATAAGACTGCCAAAGGCCTTTCGGGATCCTCACCTCCCGCCGAGCCTGCATCAGTATGGGGTCAATCACCTAGTGACCATCTCAGGAAGCCTTCCCTGACCCTCTGCCCGCAAACCCAACTCCAGACTAGATCTTTCACTACATACTCTTCATTTAAATCGTAAAAATTCAATAACCTAAACGGAGTGCACGCGAAGTGACACACTAAACCAACCTACAAGGCCAAACCACCGCCTGTAGTGGTTTGCTTATTATCTCCCCCAAGCCCAAATCTGGCTTATTCTCTGCTTGGTCCCCAGAGCCCCAGACACTGCCGACAGGAAGGAATCTGAGATGGTCCACCCCGTCCTCCGGCCTTTGCTGACACTTCTCCCCACCTGGCATCCTCCTCCTCAATTCCACATAACTCCTACCCAACTTGAGAACGGAGGAAACACCCAGACCCAAGCGAAGGGCCCATTACATGCTCTCTTGGCCCCCAGAGATTTTTCTCACCAACATTTAATGGGGAGAGAGTACATAATTATTTGTCATTCCTAGTGTCCACCTCTGCACACCAGGAACACCACATGTAACAGGTGTGCCTGTCCTGCCCACCCTTGGGTCCCCAAGGTCTGGCAATTAACTTAGAGTGGGAGCCTCCTATCCTGGCTCTAGGGTGACTAAGATCTAGGAAGTGCACCCCTCCCTGTCGTTCCCACACTCACCAGGGCCCTCAATGGTGACCTGCAGGTCGGTAAGGTCCTCCTCGTTGGGAAAGACTTTGATGCCGTCAGGTGGGTCAGCGGTCAGCGTCGTCACCTCCTTGTACACCAGGCGGATGATGTGGGGGGGCAGGTTCTCCACGTTGGAGTTCTAGGTATGGAGACAAGCCGGTGAACCACGGGCAAAGCCAGGGCCTGGAGCCTCCTACAGGATCTAGGAGTCCGTGGAGTCCCGGACTGTCAATTAAATCACCCCGAGCTCCCAGAAACCCCAACCCAGGAAGCTTCAGGCGACGGTCCCAGGCTAATCCACTAGAAATGGGGCGTATCTCCGAGCTCCTGCGGAAGGCTCCACCTCCCCCAGAAACCCCCGAAGCCCGTTCGTAGCTCCGTACAGGCTCCCCAGTGATTCTCGGTAGGCCCCAGGCCCCAGACCCTTTCCCCCACCTAATCTTGATAAGATCACCCTGGAAACCCCAGATCGGTCCTGGAGACAGCCGCGGAATGTCGTCGTTCCCAGAACACCACAGGCCTGCCCAAAAGGCCGGAGCTCTCCCCGGGACTCGGCCGGGCCTTCCCCTCCCGCCCAGCCTACAGGAAGGCCCCTGGGCCCAACTCAGGCCTCGGACGTCCAGGTGGGCTTTCCAACCCCTCAAGCCGCCCGCGAGAGGGTCCTGAAACCACGCCTCTTCCTCTACGGGGGGGTACCTCGCTCACCCTTCCAGGGCCTGGGCGCCGCACTCACCATGACTGCAGCCGGCCGGGGGCGGGTCCCCCCGGCCCCCTTCCCGCGCTCTCCGGCCGCCTGCCGGGGCGGGGGGCCCAACTGCTGTCGCTGCGGCCCTAGCGAGGCCCCGGCGGCCCCGCTCTGCTGCTCGGTGCCTCCGACGTCCGCCGCGAACCGCACAGCAGCTCCACCCACCCCAGTGACCGGCCGCAGTAAGCCGGCCGCGCGCGCACGGCTACCCTTTTATATCCGCCTACAGGCCACGCCCCCTCACGGGCCCCTCTCGCGGCGCCTCGACCCGTGACGTCAGCGCGCACGGCCCTCGGCGTTCGACGGGCTCGCTCCCTTCCAGCAAACTGCGGGCAGAAGTTGGAGAGGGGGCGTGCGGCGGGCCGGCCAGTCGGGGCGCGTGGGGGTCCGGGAGGGGATCCGGGAGAATGGAGCGGTGGAGAAGGGGGAAGCAGAAAGGAAGAGGACGTAAAGGACGACGCGGACGCTGATTGGGCCGTTTGAATGAGACGCCTGCGTACGCGCGCGCCCTGACGCCCAGAAATCGCGCACGCGACTAACGGTCGGCCGTGGAGCCTGGGCGGGGCGAAAGGAGGTGGGACTCGCGGGGTTTAAAAGGATGATAGAAGGCACGCCGACCAATAGGGACGCGCAGTCGTGGAGTGGCGTCACGAGACACGCGCGGGCCAATCCTTGACGTAGACGGCAGTACCAGAGGGGCGGAGAAAAGGAGAGTGACCAATGGGAGCTCTGCCTAGCGCGGACCTAGGCTCTCACAGCCAATGAATTTCGTTGGTTTTGTGTATGCAAATTAGCTCACGGACATTCGCGCCCCTTCCTCAGCCCGTCGTGGGGGTGGGCGCTGGCGGTAGCTGTACGTTTTTCTGTGAGGCGCCATTTTGTGGTGGGAATGACGTGTGACCTGCGTGCTGTGTAGGGGAGGTTCCAAGACCAGTCACCCGGGCGCTGAAGGCTTAGAAGCCTGGCCCTCCAATGTGTGACCTCTGGCCTTGGCCAGGCCTCAGTCTCCTGTGAGGACAGTGTCTGATAAAGAAGGAAGAGCTTTCAGGCCTTGCTGAGGGCCAGGACTTGCCTGTGACTGACCCCGTTTTTCCGCCAGCCAGGCCTCTTCAGGACTCCCTTTCCCTGTCTGGAGACCCGGCCCGGCACGCCCCGGGCGGCCATGTGTCATCGCTCTGAGAGCAGGAGCCCCGGGAGTTGACCCGCCTCCTCAGCTACTGTGTGGCCGCAGCGCCTCCGCCTAGGCCTCTCAGATCCTCTAGAGAGGGTCCCGACAAGACCCCAGGTGGGGCCCTAGCTTCTGGAACTAGGGCAGAAACGTGCAGAGACACCCACCGCCCTAGCCAGAACTAGTATGTGGCGGGTTGACCGTACTCGGGCGCCTCCCACGCCTCACCTTAAGTCCGGCCCAATTAACACGAAAGGACTCTGACGGAAGAGGGGTTCTAGTGACTTGCCTAGGGCCCCCCACTTGGGACGAGGCGGAGTTGGTGGTCAGACTGATCTGTAGCTGCGGAGTCCACCCGACAGACTGATGATGTTCCTGAGAGTGATGGTTACTGATTCATGCTTGCTGGCCGGGGCACTTTTGTAGTTTATTTGCATGTCTGATTTCATTGAAACCTCGAAACAACCAGGTCAGGTGGATGTTATGAGGTTCCTCTCTGGACACTGGCAGTTATTCAGTGTGCTTTGGTTTTTTTGAGCACCTTTTTTGTGACTCAGTGGTAAAGAACCTGCCTGTCATTGCAAGAGACTCCCCTTCAATCCCTGGGTTAGGAAGATCACTTGGAGAAGGAAATGGCTGTTCACTCCAGTATTCTTGTTTGGAGAATCCTATGGGTAGGGGAGCCTGGCGAGCTCCAGTCCATGGGGTTGCAGAGAGTTGGACAAGACTTAGTGACTAACCAGCAACAGCCCTGTGGCAGGCAGGATGCTTTGGGGATACAGCTGAGAGTAAGAGACAAAAGCCCTGTGTTCAGGGCGTTGACAATGTCCTGGGGAAGCCAGACAGTAAACAAGTAAGTATATCCTATCATGTCAGCGAGTGATAAAGACAGATCGGATCAGTCAGGGCCCAGGGTGCAAGGAGAGAGGGCTGGGGCTTCTCACTGATCTGTCGGAGGAAGAATTGCCTGGGCTCCATATGGGAAAAGCACTTCAGAAAAGGGAACAACTCCTACAAAAGCGAGGCGAGGGGATCATGTGTGTTGTGTTTGGGGCGCCACCGGGAAGCCGGTGAGGCTGAGTGGGTGGTCTGTTGAAGCCTTCAGGTCCTGGGGAGCAGTTGGAGGCTTTGATGGGCCGTGGGCGGGAGCAGACAGGCAGGCTAGCACGTAGATGGCAGGGCAGGTAGGAGACGTGCTGCGGATCCCTGACGTGGACAGGCCCTGAGGGAGAAGGAAGGAATCGCCCACAGCCTTAAAATTGGGCTCAGCGAACCTTCTGAGTAAAGGTTTTTGATTCTGCAGGCCACACATCTCTGTCCCAACCGACTCCATTATGCTGCCCTAGCCTGAGCAGCCAAGTGGATGTGCAGATGAATGGGGTGGCTGTGTCCCAGTCAGCCTTTGTTGATAGAAACGGTAGTGGCTGGGGTCGGTAGTGGCTGGGGTCGGTCCTCAGGGAGGCTGCCTTTATTGACTCCTGAAATTCCAACAGGCCCCATCTCTGCTAAGAACTTTACATGATCTTTGCCTTTTGGGGGGTTTCCTGTGGTAAGGGAAAATAGACACAGAAGCAAAATGTAATAAATAAAATATTTATTTAGGTTAGAAGGGAGTGAGTGCTGTGGAAAAAGAGAAAAGTAGAGCAAGGGGGGAGGGGTTCGGGTGGGGGTGCCAGATTGTGGGATGCCAGCTGGAAAGAATTTATAGGCAGATGGCCAGGGAAACCTCACCACTTAGGTGTTATGTGAACACAAGTTTGAAGGAAGGGAGGAAATGAGCTGTGTGCTTATCAGGAAGGTGTATTTGGGCAGTTGAAACAGCTGGAGCAGAGGCCTAGCACATTTGAGGAACTGCATGGAGGCCAGTGTGGTTGGAATAGAGTGGGCGAGGAGAGAGTATGGGGAGATGAGGTCAGAGAAATGTATATGGATGGAGTTGGGGAGGGGGTATCATGCAGGACCTTGAAGGCCGTGATTAGGACTGTGGTCTTGTCTCTGAGGGAATGGGGAGCCACTGCCAGATTTTGAGCAGAGGACTGCTGTGGTCTCACTATGCTGGGTGGAGAAGAGGATGAAGGGGGATGCTCATGGGGATGTGGGCAGAGGCAGGGAGGCCAGAGAGGGGGCTGTTGGAATAATCCTGAAAAGAAATGGTGCTGGTGGTCAAAGATATATAAATGGCCAATAAGCACATGACAAGAGGCTTAGTGTCATCAGCCATCAAGGAAATGAGAATCAAAACCACAATGAGATACCATCTCACACCACCTGGGTGGCTGTAATCAAAAAGTGAGATAATAGGTGTTGGGAAGGATGTGGAAAAATTGGAACCCTCACACAGCTGGTGGGAATGAAAAATGGTGTAGCTGCTTTGGCAAACAGTATGGCTATTCATCAAAGAGTTAAACCTAGAGTTACCATATGACCCAGCAATTCCACAGCTAGGTACATATCCCAGAGAAATAGAAACATGTCTACACAGAAAGTCATACACAGATATTCATAGCTGTGCAGATAATGCATATCACATTGTTTGTAACACCCAAAAGATGGAAATAACCAACATATTCAACACCTGGTGAACAGCCATAGAAAGGAATGAAGTACTGTTACCTACTACAGAATGGACAAACCTTCAAAATGCTATGCTAAGGGAAAGAAGCCAGTTACAAAGGACTGCATTTGTATGATTCCGTTTATATGTAATGTCCAGAACAGTTGAATCCATGCATACAGAAAGTAGATGAGTGTTTGTCTAGGGCTGGGGGATGGTAAAGTGATGTCTAATGGGTAGATTTTGGGGCAATGAAAATACTCTAAACTTGACTGTGGTGATGGCATAGATGTGTGACTCTGTGAGTATACCAAAACACTTTAAATTGGTAAGTTTTGTGTATGGTGTGTGAGTTATATCTCAATAAAGCTGTTATTTTCTAAAAAGAATTTTTTGAAAACCCTGAGATGGGAGGAACTGAGAGAAGGGCAGAGGAGTGGGGAAAGAAAGGTCTGACTGGAGAATGTTCTGAGTTGGGAGAAGTGGGCATGGTCGATAGGGCCCTAGGGAGCCAATGAGGAATTCTGACCTGGAGACGTGAATGGATTTGGTGTAATTCTAGCTCAAGGCTGCTGGTTAAAGACTTGATTGGAGGGCCCAGAGTGGAAGCAGAAACTTCAACAGAAAGTTGGTTGTGGCTTGGGCTAGGGTGGTGGCCATAGCCATGGTGGGAGAAAAGTGGGCAGATCTGAGAAGGACTCGGGAGGTGGCCTAGTGATGGGGCCTTTTGAGTGAGTTTGGGAGGTGGATGGGCAGGAGATGGGCTGGGAGAGGGGTGTCCTTCCTTTGCTAAGTGCTGGAAGCCCAGAAACTTAACTTTTGCTTAGTGAAACTCAAATTTCTAGCTTTAGAAATGAACCTTCATTTCTTCTGTTCATATGTATTAAGTCATGGAAGAAATACATGTTTGGAGGGAAATTCACAGTGACTGCAGTGAAAGGAGGATGCACAGCTCTAGCCCTCCTTCCCCTCTCACATTCCCATTCATGACCCCTCACGTACCTGCTGTGAATATCTGGTGTCTTCCTCTCCACACTACTTGCACGTTTACATTCCCACACACCCTTCCTCAGCAGTGCGCAATGCGGTCCTCCGTAAGAACCTGGGAGTTTCTAGCATTCTGTAGCTAATGGGTGTTTATGCTGGTCTAGTGTGTGGTTAGGAGCTGCAGTGAGCATCCTTGGGCAAAGCTGTGAGCTTTCCTGAAGGGGAAGTTCCTAGAAGTGGAATTGCAGGCTCAAAGAGCACGAGTGTCTGAAGTTCTGCCAAGTAGCCCTTGGCAGAAGGCTCTCCTTATTTGGATCCCCACCACTAGGATCTGGTCCCTTCATTCAAGTATTTATAGCCAGCTGTCTGCCAGGCCCTGTTCTGTGTGCTTGGGATACATCAGTCACCAAGACAGGAAGCAAGGCACCACCTTCCTGGGGCATCCATTCTGTGGGAGACAGATGATAAACAGTAAGCACTAAACCCAGGGTGGCCAACTGTCCGGGTTGCCCACAATG